TATTGGACAGGTTTTTTGTTTTATTTTTAATGTAATGAAAAATACATTTTTTGAACAGATTTTGTTCTTTGCCTTATTGAAACATTTAAAATATAGGTAGCTACCCTTCCCTAAAATTTAATGCTTATATTTTCTTATCTACAACTATTAAACTGTATTATAAGTAAATCAGAAACAGATTCTTAACCTATTACCGAGTACTTTAGGTATTTGGAAACTTTATTCAACCATTGGTCTTGTGCAGATTCTCATAACCTGGGGGAAGGGGATGTCCATTGGGATGTACATCTTGAGCAGTCCTAGCAGCGGAATGTGGAAACAGACATCAAAGAGTTTGCTACTTCTGTGTAATATCACAACAGTTGTTTACATAACTGTATAAATAATTAGGCTGCGTTCAGACCAAAGCACTGCCGCACGAGGAAAGAACATGCATCTGGTGACCCTTCTACAGCAGAGTCTGGTGGTTAGGTGCTAGGAAGCAGGTTTTGAGTAAGACCCGTGTGAGTTCAAGTCCTGCCTCTGCTCCTTCTGTCTGGGTCACCTTGGAAGACCTGTTCTTCTGGCCTCTGATGATAATCGTACTGCCCTCATAGCTTTGTTAAAAGGATTTGATGAGACTCCTTGTAGAGTGGTTAGCATAGTACCTGGCACACAGTAAATATACACTCAATATTTGCTGTTTTAAAATAGAGTAAGGATATCTACGGTGCCTGGTTTTGATCAGTGTTAAGTTGGGTGTAGAAATGCTTGGTAAATGTAAGAGCTATGAAAGGAGAAGGCATTAAGAGTCATTCTGAAAGACCCTTGTGCTGTAGTGACTAGAAAACTAAAACAAAAGGTGGCAGTTTGTCCAAAGTAATTACGAGCCAATAGAATACAGTCCTGTGGACCGCTTTCCCACAGACATGGGTAGTCCTGCAGGTCAGAGCATTCCTGCTGGACAGTTCCGGCATTTCAGGCCCTTCCTCCCGCCTTCCTGCTCTCATTTGTCTAGTGAATTAAATAATTACAAAAGTGAGTGATGATCCAAAGCACATGGTTATGCTTCTATGGGCTTTACATAACACCCCTTCCCCAAAATCTTTTTTAATGCCCAGACACAGCTTTCTTACCTTGGCAGTTCTGGGTAGTATTGGCATCCTTCCGTAGATTAAGTCCTAAAAACCATCATTCTCATCTACTATTCTGCCCTTTTTCCTTTGAGCTCCCTCATCCCTTGTCACATAGCTTATAGGTTACAAGAGGAAGAACGAACATTTGCTGAGTACCTACCTACTAGCTGATGACTGCTATTCTGAAGTCTTTACCTGCATTAGCTCACTTCATCCTTACACCCCCATAGCCCCCAAGTGGGTACAATTGTTAAACCCACTTTACAGATGAGAATAAAGAGGCTCACGAAAGCAAATAATCTGTCTGAGATCACATAGGGAGCGCTGTATGAAGACATGCAAGATCCCTAAGCATCAGTAATTAACTGCCCCAAGTTTCCTATTCTTGTGTAAGTACCTTCATCCAAACCAACCAATTACAGACCAATATTTTATTCCAGCTGTTTAGAATTTGTAAATTTATTGCTTCTTGGATAAAATTTACTGAAAACATTTCATATTTCCCCCCGGCTCAACATAAACATTGCACCATATGGAAGTATTCCTCTTGTACAGCCAGGAAGTTACAGGGAAGGGTTGGAGGGAGGAGTAAAACTTGATCGTAGGGGTCTTGGCGGAGTCTGCGATGACATAAGGGGAGAGAAAAGCAAATTCTGCACGAAGATGATTTCCTCATTGTTACCCACAACACAAGTGGCCCTTTTCATGCTGGGCATGATCTCTCTCACTTGAGAGAGATTTAGAAAAAAATTAATTTTCTCCACACAAGATTGGCAAAATACCCATAAGTATTCCAGTCTCGATTTTGGTGAGCGAGGACCTTCGAACCGGGGCTGGGCAAGTAGTGGTGCTCATTTGACCGGTAGTTGCATCACCAAGACTGACGTCTCTCAAGGCCCTCAAATGCCTCGCACCCTCAGGCCTCATTACCGTACCTCACACAGCCTCGTAGTTCCCGTCTTGGTCAACTACATTGCTCTTGGCTCAAATAGGGAACCTGGAAATCATCATAATGACCCCTTCCTTCCCCGCTCCCCCTTATTTAATCATTTGCCAGCTTCTATTCATGCTGTCTTCTGAATTTCTTATATTTGACCTTCATTTCTTTCCCTGCTGCCCTGTTAGAATTTGGACCCCTTTCATCCCTCCCAAGGAGACGCCCTCCAACTGATCTTCCTGTTTTTCATTTGGTCCTCACCTAATGCATCAGAGTTAGCTTTCTGAAACCCAAACCTATCACAGTAGTTTGCCTTTTAAAATTTTTTATTTTATTTTTTTGCATGTCACTTAGGACAGTCAAGATTTGGTCTCTCCCTGTCTTTCCTTTCTTGCCCAAACTCCTGCCCCCCTGCTGATCTTGCACATGGTTCCTAGGTCCAGCCACGTTGAACCAGACAGAACCATGTTTTTTGGCGCCTGAATGCCTTTCCACATGTTGTCCCTTCTTCCTTCCTTGTCTGCCTATTTTTTTTTTAAAATAGGGGGGCCAGTTCCCCTTCCATGACCCACCCTGGAAGACAGTTGCCCTCCTCTGCCCTCACAATTGCTTAGTACCTCTCCACTGTCGCCTTTTTTTGAGTCACATTAAAAATGTGCATATGTGCATGCTTGTGGGACGTAGTTTGTGAAAACTAAAGTGCACTGGGTTCTGAGAATATTCAATGAATTTGTTTAATGAATGATGGGAACCAGAATTTATTCACGTGTGTAGTCCTAGACCCCTGGCCCTGAGAGAGGGCTTTCAAAGGTGCTCATTCAGCATTTGGCAGAGAGAGCAGAGGGACAGGGAAGCAGGAGGAGAGGATACAGAGCACCGGAAATAGGAAGCATTTCTGCCTTGTGTGTGGGCAGGAGGAACACTAATACCTAACCCTGGTTTGTACCCAGGCTGCTTTGCCTTTCTCTGTTGGGATTTAGTCACATCACTGTTGTTACTGTTGTGATGGCTCAGGGAAGAAGCGGGATTGTAGACGGTTGTGTGTGTTTCTGGCATGGAGCTAAGCCACCATGACATCTTCAGGCACTCACCTCCTGGCCCGAGTTACCAAAGATCAGAGCTCTCTCTAGTGTGGGGGTTTCTGAACCTCAGAGGGTGTTGCTGAAGCCCCCAAAGTGTGCAGCATACTTGCTTATGCTCTTATACATATACATTTTCTGTAGAGGATCCATAGCATTAGTTAAAATTCTGGGGTATTGGGTATTGTTAGCACGCCTAGCATCTCCCAAGAGGATTGTATAGAATTGGGCCATTCAGACTTGAAAACTAAGGCATTCCCCTCCCCTCCCCCCCCAACACACACACACACACACACACACACAACACACACTACCAAACAAAACAAACTATGAAAAACTCTGACACACTGGTTCCCATTTCATCTTAGGCAGTTAATCTTATTGCTTTGTAGTCAGACCTTAATATTATCCTTTGAAAGGTTGTTAGCCTTCTGTTCCATAAAAAAGCAGAGGTCACGCCGAAGCCGGTTTGGCTCAGTGGTAGAGCGTCGGTCTGCAGACTGAAAGGTCCCAGGTAAGATTCCGGTCAAGGGCATGTACATTGGTTGCGGGCACATCCCCGGTAGGGGGTGTGCAAGAGGCAGCTGGTCAATGTTTCTCTCTCATCAACGTTTCTAGCTCTATCTATCTCCCTTCCTTCTGTAAAAAATCAATAAAAATATATTAAAAAAAAAAAAAAAAAAGCAGAGGTCATGATCCATGAAGGCAGCATCCTAAGATGGGCACTTGTTTAGGTAATCTAAGTGCAAAATGAGACGTGCTAATTTGAGAAAAGCTTTTCAGAATCAATATGACCATATCAAGTAACGGTGAACCCCTTGGTGTTTAATGACCACTGAGTTAGATGTGGTGGGAGGGAGGGAAGGCAACTGGTGCCTGCTTAGATGCTTAGATGTACACACACAGCTGGTCAGTAGCCCTTGAGAGCTGGTGAGCTTCACTCATTCATCAGTCTTCTTGTACATGAGGAGATCAGAAAATGGAGAGTTGTTAATAGACACCTTTTGAAAAGTATCAAATCACCATGACCAGTACTCTTATTTTTCCTTAATATTCTCACCAGAAAACTGAGAGAAGAGCAGGCCAGGAGCAAAGTGCCCAAATATGAGAGATTGTGTGTGTGTGTGTGTGTGTGTGTGTGTGTGTTTGTGTGTATGTAAAGATATGTAGGTGGAGAAGGAGCTTTGAGGGCAAAGAGAAGAAAAACTTGCTACTTGAAGTCGTTTTATGGATGAACAGAGTTCATATTGGTGTTTTAAATTTTTAAATTAAAAACATTTTAAAGGTATTTTACATGGCCCCATTTGTGATAGTAGTCATTAAAGAAAATTGGGAAAATGTTAACTTCTCATGGTAAATTAAAGATGGCCAAGGTTCTTTGACATAAGAGGATCACCCCCCCACCCTCTCCCTGGAATCTGAGCAGGCTCTGTGATAGCGTGCCCAGTGCTGTGCTCATTGTCAGGCCAAGCACTAAGAAACTTGCAGGTTCCACTTCCTTTCTCTTGGAACACTGGTCTTGTCACCCTGGCACCATAGTAGCCACAGGGAGAGGCCCACTGGGAGGAGAACTGAGGGCCTGGCCAGCAACCCCAACTGAACTCCCGGCTAACGGCCGGCACCAGCGAGTTATTGAGTGCCCGGGGAAAGCAGATCCTTCGGGGCCAGTTGAGTCACATCAGCTGCTGTTGCATGAAGCAGAGATGAGCCATCCCCTACTGAGCCCTGCCCAAATTGCAGATTAGTGAGAAAACGAAGTGATATTGCCATTATAAGAAATTGTGTTGTTTGTGATGCGAAATATATCATAGGAACCACCTAAAGGGCAGAAGTCATTCATTCATCCATATACAGACAGTGCCAATACTTCACTTCCCATTTTTTTCTTTGATGTATAATTTTGAGATTTATTTACTGTTCTTTTTAAAACAATTATATCTATTAAAATTGTATATTTTTCACTTGTTACACAAACATGTAAATTTTCTACATTATTATAAGCCTCATATAATCTTAGAGGCTACTCAATATAGAAGTAACTCCTATATTAACCATTCTCTTAGAATTGGTTACCAAGGTGGAATTATGGAGGAGTAAAAAGAATGATTCATATTTGCTTTGATAATAGACTTGTTATAATCTTTTATAATAGTTACCTTATCAGTGGATGTGCAGCTGGAGAGGACAAAGATGATTTTGGGAAATATTCCAAGTATACTGGGTTGAATAGTATTCCCTCAAAATTCCTGCCCACTCAGAACCTCAGAAGGAGATCTTATTTGAGCTTTTGTACATGCAATTAGTTAAGTTATAGATGCAGTCATAATGGAGTAGGGTGGGCTCTAAGTCCCATGGCTGGCGTCCTCATAAGAAGGTCGTGTGAAGACAGAGAGACACGCACACACCGAGGGAGAAAGATCAGCGAAGATGGAGGCAGATATTGGAGTGATGAAGCTTCTAGGTCAAGGACCTCCAAGGATTGTTGACATCCACAAGAGGCTCCAAGAGGCAAGGAAGGGTCTTTGCCCAGGGCCTGCAGAGGGAACATGGCCATGTTCACTCCCTGACTAGACTTCCAGCCTCCAGAATGCTGAGAGACTCAGTTTCTGTTGTTTAAGCCCCCCAGTTTGTGGCGGTTTGTGAGGCTCCTGGGAACAGATGCGAGCTCCACATGGCCGCACATCACAGCTCATTAAGGGCTCAGGATAAGAAAAGAAACCCACAAGAAGACTCTCAAGGTCCAGCATCGAAGTTTAGAGTCCTGTCTCTCCCCCGCCCCCCGCCCCGACCCCCCAGGCCTCCACTGTCAGTATGGACTTGACTTACTATGGTGGTTACTTTAAGCCACTGAGTTTTGGGGTAATCTGTTGCGCTGCAATAGACAGCTAAAACAGCTTGTACTCTGACTATCGAGGGTTGACTCCTTAAGATTTTGTTCTAGGGCAGTGAGGTCACTTAGCTTTTCTTGGTGGCATGAGAGGACAGATTTTATTCTACAGGATGGACAGGCTGTCAGGAACCACTGGGACAAACTCAGAGATCGTAGCTAGAAGACATCATTGCAATAGTCTTTTTCCAGTTCTGCTGTGTCAACACAGTTGCTGCCGCTATTTCATTTTCCCTTCAGCTGACTTGGTTGGACGTGGTTCCCTGAGCTGCTTGGTCTTATCCCCATCCTCGGGACAGACAGATGTCCAGCACTGCAGCCTCCTAGTCTCAGGTATCCATGAGGTTAGGACCCCACAGGTAAGTTTTCCTCACAGCTTGTTTTATTCAGGGTCCTCTTTGGCTGAATTGAGATGTTTTTGCTGTTTATAGGTCACTTTCAAGTGTGGTGGCTGACAACTGCCTCTCCCCTCAGATCTGCCTGGCAGAGCTGACGGGACCAGATGTCCGGTGCTGCTCCTCAGATCTCTGAACTTGATCAACCATGGCAAAGGATAAACATAGGAGGAAGGGAGCTTACTGCATTCATTAAGGAGCTTAGTCATTGCTATGTCTTGGAAGCAGCATGAAATATGAAGTCAGAAGTTTTGGGTTCATGTTTCTCCTTTGCTATTTACTAATTGTGCGAGTTTAGGGAAGTCATATACACTGGGAACCTCAGTTTCTCCGTCAGTAGAATGGGGACAATATTAATCATCCAACCCAGTCTTATATCCAGATGAAAGAAAGAGAGAGAGAGAGAGAGAGAGAGAGAGAGGGAGAGAGAAAATGAATGAACTTTACAAGCTATGAAATGTGAATATAGTAGTTGGTCTTGTAGATATTTATTATATTATAGTATCTTAGGGAATGTTCGCGAAGGGCATATCCTTAGAAAACAAGCCCAAATTCATATTAGCCCCATAAATAAGAACCGCTGTGGGAGAAGATAGGACACTCTGCCCACGACGGGGATTTGATTCTGGGAGTTTGAGAGGTTCTGTCTCCTGGGGAAGTTCCTCAGGCTTTGGTGAAGGTTATCTTAGGTGGACTCTGGCCTGGTTGATTCAGCTTCTCACGAACCCAGCTGGGACCCTGGTCCACCTCCTGCTGGCCTCGCTGTTGGCCATGTGGACTCTGACCCTCCTGGTGCCTGTGGTGACGGCATCGAAACCTCTCCAAATTTAGAAAAATGGGAAAGCGGTCCTCAGCGTTTCTCATAGGCTATTTTGATGCTGCCTTTTCCTTCTTTGCCGCATTTCTCCCCAGCACTAAGAAGTATCGTGTTCACTTCGTTGGGTGCCATGTGGTCTTTCCTTTGACTCCACTGCCTCTTGTTTATGAAACACAGGGAGTCAACCGTGACAAATGGCCAGCAGCCATCTGCCTCCAAAGGACAGAGACTCTTTTCTTCCCCTGTTTTGTTTTAAAAATAATAAGGTATTTTTCCTTTTGGGGGGGGGGATTTTTTTTATTATTCAGAGATACATAGCATCGAGAAAAACTCTGAAGCCAGGAGACCTGGGTTCCCACCCCAGATCGGGCAAGTTGAGCTCTCTGGAGCCTTGGCGACTCGGGGGATGTCATGGGTGTGAAAGCCCGTTGCAAACGACAAAATGCAATATGGATGTTCTCATTGTGGCTTCTCCTTCCCAGGCCCCCTCGCAGGGGGAGCGGCTTTTCAGAGACTCCTGGGAATGCTGTATCAGCGCATGTGTGTATTTGATCTGCAACAAGAAGGTCCTGAGGACCCCATGGCGGATTTATTTCTCACCTCAAAGATGTGCAACCCTGCTTTTGAGATCCGGCCCCTGCCAGCTCAATGCCCTACAGCCATTGTGCCCCACCTACAAGTTTAAGACTAGACTAGTGTTGGCCCTGAGTCTCCTGCTGATCCACCCCAGTGGCCATGGGTCTTATTCCGTCCAGCTCCAAGGCTTGCTGGACCCCACAGGGTGACTATCTCTTTTGCCAGACAGTGTGGGCTGTGGGCCAGATGTGTGGCCCTAGCCAGCTGTGTTCGTGGATTCACGTGCATCCTCCAGGACCTTTGTCATCATGAACAGTCCGAATCAATGAATGCTATTCTCATAATTTGTGTGTAGTTGGCTTCCCATGTTTCCCCTTCTCTGAGGGTCACATGGGAAGACAGGACAGCACATGCAAATGTCACTGCTTTATCTCTGAAGGTGTCGGCAAGCCGTCCCGCACCTCTGCTTCAGTGGGCCTATATGCTGCGGCCAGTGGCAGAGCAGACACTAATCAAGCAGACTGTATTTGACCCAGAAGAGCAGTGTTGTAATTGGGAGGCCAAGGAGACCAAGGCCTGAGCACCCATCAATTATCATTAAGACTATCATGTGTCACAAAACCCAGAGGAGGCGCAGAAGGCGGCCGGGATAATGGCAAGAGCGAGGTTGTAATCAGAGACTGGTGGGCTGGAAGGGACATTGGAGATCCTCCCTCTTCTGGACCCCACGTGTGAGCCCATGGAGCCCTGAGGGGCAGCCACCTGGGACGGGCACACTGTTAATTCATGGCAGGGCTGGGGCCGTAACAGAGATCTTGGATAGCAGCCCGGGTTCCCTCGCTCCACTCTCCTTGGGAGTCATCGATTGGAGGGTCCCAGCTGTGTCATGTACTGTGTGACCTTGGGCAAGGCTATTTCACTTCTTTAAGTCTCCGTGTTCCCACTATAAAACTGAGAAATTAATACTTCACTCATGGGCTGTTGTTAAGATTAAATGAGATAATTAATATAAGAAAAAGACTTAACCAGTGGCCAAGGGCACTAAATGCCCAGTAAGTGACCATGATGGTTATACGAAGGGCCAGGATACCATAAAGAATGATGCCTCAGTTGCTCTGTTGGACATAGATTGGGCCTAGCTAAGATGGGTTTCCCCACAATCCTAGACTCACCGTCTCTTAGCCTGGTCTGCCTCCATCGGCCTCGGAGTGGCTTTCAGAGGCGGGCCTGGATTCTGTCTTCCTAACGCAGTCCACGGAAACTGAAATCACTCTCTCCATGCTATCTTGCCAGCTTCCTCAGCCGCAATTAGTTATATGGGAGTCTATTCATTAATGTGAGGCTTGTGCTTAAAACTCAGATGGTTCTAAAAAAAAAAAAAAAAAAAGAAAGACCATGGACCCTGGCTGGAGTGGCTCCATTGGCTGCACATTGTCATGTGCTCCAAAGGTTGCAGGTTCGATTTCTGGTCAGGGCATGTGCCTCGTTGCAGGCTTGGTCCCTAGTCTAAATAAATAAAAATAAAGACTTTGGGAATCCAGAAATGAAAATTAGTGTTGTGTTTTTTTTGTTTTTGTTTGTACTATTTTTAAAAATACGTTTTTATTGATTTCAGAAAGGAAGGAAGAGGGGGGGAGAGAGATCAAAACATCAATGATGAGAGAATCATTGATTGGCTGCCTCCTGTGGGGGCCGAGCCCACAACCTTGGGCATGTGCCCTTGACCAGAATCAAACCCGGGACCCTTTGGTCCACAGGCCAAACTGAGCCAAACTGGCTAGGGCTGAAAGACTTTTGGATTTTGAAGGTTTTGATTGTAGGCCACTCTTGATCTTTGGTCTCCCTGATATCTTTCCCTTTTTCTCTCAATCTCTGTTTTATTGTTTGCTTTTTTCTTTTTTAAAGCCACCCCCAATTTCAAGGCTGCTCTGAGAGGAGGGAGGGAGGGAGGCACACAGCCCTGGCCTGGAGGGCAGCACACAGAGGCTCCGGCTCAGCCAGGTGGGCTGTGGACAGCAGGGGCTTGGGCACTGAGTGGGAGGAGAGGCTGCGGGGCTGGGTGAGGAAGGAGGGAGCGAGGCCCCGGAAGGCCTGCGGGATTAGAAGGGGCAGCTGGCTTCCCTTTGGCTCTGCCCCTCGCCCTGCCGCTTGGCAGGCCCAGCGTGTGAGCTGCGGCAGGTGGAGTCCATCTTGATTTTCCCACAGGGCTGCAAATTCGCACGGGGTGTGCGGGGGTGGCCGCGGGTCCTGCAAAGCCCGCCTTTTCCTCCGGGCCTGAGAGGCAGGCAGAGAAAGAGTTTCTGTTTGGTTTCTAAAGAAACCGAGGGCCGGGGACTTAACCCGACTTAAACAGCAGGTGTGGCTAAACCCCGGTGGGGAGGTCTGTGCCCCCATGGCAGCGGGCATGGGCAGTGCCCCTAAACATCCTGCCAGCCCTCGGACGGAGGGGAAGTGATCTGATCCTAGGAAATGCGCCCGGAGAGCCCGCACAAGTCAGGGCCATGACTGGGGTGTAGGCCAGGCCCCCGGCAGCGCCTGTCGGGGAGGATGCGTGTGTGGCCGCCACAGTGCTGACCTCTGGCTCAGCCTCGTCCTTTGGAAAGGGGAGGCGGGACCCTGCACCCTCCTGAAAGCCAAACGCCATCAACGCCGCCCTTCTCCCGCCGCCCTCTGGCATCTTGGGGGGTCTTACAACTTGCTGTAGGCTCTGGGTAGAGCCTGCTATGGATGCAGGCTTCTCCACATACAAGGGCGACCCAATGTCAGGAGAAAGGGATTCTAGAACATTAGACTGCGTCCCATCCCTGGGATAAGGATTAGAAATGCCAGGCCCCGGGCCCGCCCTGGCACCTGCATTTGTCCTGGGGCCCCAGGGTCCCAAGAGACTCCGACGCAGGAGGTGATGGACGCGGCTCCAAGACAGTGGACAGCGTTCCTGTTCTGTCTGATGGGAGCAGGAGGAATCCGGCGCCTTCACCACCTTGGCTGCAGGTGGCTGGGCTGCAGCTGGATCCCCAGAGCGGGACAGCAGGAGGCAACAGATCCATGTTTCTCATCAATGTTTTCCTCCTATCTCTTTCTCTGAAAATCAATGAAAACATATTTTAAAAAATGTGTTTAGTGTCAAATCAAATTAGACATAGATGAGAAGTGAAGTGCTCTTTTCAGAGCCGCTTGCCTTTCTGCGGCATGGTGCTGGACATGCTCAGCCGGGGAGGAGAGGGCCTCTGTACCTGAGGGAGCCGGGGAAGGGCAGTCCCCGCACATTAAGATAATGTGATTTTTTTTTTTCAGCCATTGGCTTTTATTCCAGAGACATGTTGAATCCTTTGTAGTCGGCAGGTAGCAGTACAGCTAAAATACAATAGTATTAACAACAGTAACACACCTTGGCATTGCATCTCTCTGTGCTGTCTGCCTCCGGCCTGTTTGCCTCTCCTTCAGAGCGGCGGGGCTGGCAATTCGGGGCGGCCCCAGAGGCCGGCGGCTCCCTGGGGGAGGAGGTGTGTAGGGAAAAGCATCGGACATACAGGTTCCGCACTGCCTGTGGTTTTAGCATCCACCTGGGTCTTGGGGCATATCCCCTTGGGGGGGGGGGGGGCTGTGAGCCCCACCTGTGAGGGAAGGAGGGGAGTTGGCACAGAGCCTGCCTGCCTGCTGCCGTCCAGGTGAGACCTGCGGCTAACCGGAGGGGAGCTTGCGGAGGCTCCTCCAGGCCTGGCTCTGCCTCGGAGACACCAGTTGGTCTTATTGGAAGCAGGCAGGGCTCCTCTACACCGCGCGGTGGACCAGAGGGGAGGGCAGGCAGGACCGGAGCCGTCTCCAGGGCCAGATGCTGGATTACAAAGGGCCGGGAGCGGAGAGCCAGTCCTCCCCTCTGGAGGACAGCCTGTGGAGGCAGAGCTAAGGGCGGGGGAAGGAAAGTGATGCACCTGCATCCCCTCTGCCCTGCCTGCCCCACAGGGAGCTGGGGGACTGCCTCGTTGGGCTCAGTGGGTGCTCTCCCCGTTGGTCCTGCCTTTTCCTCCCCATGATCACCCAGAGACACCCCTTTCTCCCACACTGGCTAACGGGTCACATGCTGGCTCCTCCTGCGGGCTTTCCTGAGAGGGTGGGAGGCAGGCAGGCAGGCTCTGTGCCAACTCCCCTCCTTCCCTCACAGGTGGGGCTCACAGCCCCTCCCCCAAGGGATATGCCCCAAGACCCAGGTGGATGCTGAAACCACAGGCAGTGCGGAACCTGTATGTCCGATGCTTTCCCCTACACACACCTCACTCAGGGAGCCTCCGGCCTCTGGGGCTGCTCCAAATTGCCAGCCCCGCCGCTCTGAGCTCTGCAGCCATTCATAAGGGAGAGGAGGCTGACTCAGACACAGACTGCGGCCCTAGACAGCTACTCAGGGACCAATGGGCGGGAGCATATCTGTCGTGGGGATGCTGCGGCCCAGGTGGGATGGGAGAGCACCAGATTTCATTCCGCTCCCCGGGAGGCAATGAGGACACGAGGTCAGGCTGGCCACCGGCCGATGGCCCTGTGCTCTCAGAGACTCGGTTTCCACACTCGGCCCCCTATAACCAGGGGGCGTTGGGGAAGCTCTTTAACCGCAGCCATTAAGACCAGAACATCAGGAAAGAAAAGCAGCGTTCTCCTGGCCTATCCACGCGGGCGCTGGTGGAAGAGCAGGGGCGTGAATGCCTTCCCGCGCGTGGAGTGCACACCTGCCCGTGAACTTCGTGACCTCCCCGTCCCCACTGCTGGGCTGAGGGGTCAGGCATCTTCTCGCCGCCGCTTCCGGAGTCCCACACGCTGGCTGGCCTGCTCTGGGCACCGGAGATTTATGGCCTCGTTAAGCTCCATGCACATTATCTTTCAGAATCAGCTCAGATTCAAAGGCCCCCGCCGGCTTCCGCACAGTTGCCATTGTGCCGCTCCTATAATTAGAGACTGAGTAAGGGCGGCGCGCTGAGGGCGGCTGCCTTTGGCCATGAGGTCACTCGCCCTGGCCCCCTCACCAGGTGGCTGCCCCTGCGGGCGGGATTCCGGGGTGTGTGTGTGTGTGTGTGTGTGTGTGTGTGTGTGTGTGTGTGAAATCAGACCTGCGCAGGCTCTCCCTGGAGGAGGATGGCACTCAGGATGAGCCCTGGGACAAGTGCCTTTCCGTGCCTGAGATAACGATGACATAAGAGCTGGGGTTCTGGGAAGTCCCCGTTCTAGCTCTCTGATCTGACAAGCCCTGAGCCTCTCGGAGACTCCCTTCATTCGCCTGGAGGTTGGGGTTCATTGGAGCAGCAGCCCCAGAGAGAAAATGTCTGGTGTATAAGCCGGCTCCCTCTCTCTCCTTCACACCCAGTCTGTGCCCACATCCTAAGCCAGTGGTCGGCACACTGTGGCTCTTTGGCCCCTTGAGTGTGGATCTCCCACAAAATACCACTTGTGGGCATGCACGTCCAGTGCGATTGCAACTTCGTGGCCCATGTGTAGAAGTCGGTTTTCGGCTCTCAAAAGAAATTTCAATCGTTGTGCTGTTGATATTTGGTTCTGTTGACTAATGAGTTTGCCAACCACTGTCCTAAGGGGTCCATGTCTTAAGTATCTCTCCAGTCCTCTCATATTTCTCTCTCTCTACGGCCACCGTCGGGCCTCAGCCACCATCCTCTCTTGCCTTGGACCACAACCCTTGTCTGTTGACTGGTGTCACTGCACCCACGCCTCCACCTCTCTGTGCAATCGCCGCGTGGCTTCCAGTGATCTTTCTGGCTAGCCACTTGGAACATACCCTCTAGCTTACAACTCTCCAGGGCATCTCTGTGCTCTTCGGGGGA